TTGCCTTTGTTAGATCGGTGAGTGCATAAGTGGTTGTATTTCACAGCTGTTTGGTCGTTTTCATCACAGACTATGTTCGTAGCTGCCCTATTGACCTCTCTGATCTCTCCAACCTCTATAGTTGTTCACTCCTTAGGACTCTATCTCTCTCTGCCTGAAGTCATGTTGGCTGTTGGAATTTCCGTAAACCAAATCTAGCCGTTGTGTGATCCATACTTTGATTTAGTATGTGTTGTTCTGAAAGGGACGCCATCTGTTCCGCCACTGCTGCCAGTTTACCTACGACTATGGTGAAGCCTACTTTGGCAGAACCGATGGACGGTTTTTAGACAAGGCAGAACATTCAGCCCGAGAATGAACATCAGAATGTTGTTTCAAGTAGGCTTTCTTGATTGATGGGAATTTAATGTTCCAACAGCTGTTGTCTGACTCTGGGGTTAGTCTGGATTAGTCACAGTGGATAATTTTCCTGTGCGTTGACAAAAAAGGAGCCCAGTACCATGCTGTACACGATTGTATGACCGTTGCAATAGGGGGCAGCGTATTTAGGAGGCATTGTATTCGGATGTATACGCTGAGCCACCCCATCTTTGTTGACGGAAGGATTCCATCTTCGATGTTTCAAAGTTGAGGCATCATAATTTTATCTTTTTACGCCACCATATCCTGCTGATTTTCCTATTATGTGGCATCAACGTCACTACTGAGATTCACTGTAAAGGTCCAACTACTTGAGATCTACTCTTGGCAGCGGAAATGATCAACTAAAAGACGTACTAAAAACGTACCCTAGTGGGTATAGTTCTTTTGCAGCTCAGCTTACCTTTTCTGCTTGCAACGTTTTGAACCCAAATCCTAACGCGCAAGTCCATTCACTTCACAAGCAAACAGAAGTGGTCTTCTGAGGCTGGAAGGCGTTCCGCCCAGAAAGGAACAATCGGCATCCAGTTGGCATCCTCTTGAAAGAGCGACCGTCAGAGTGTGGCACTTTGCTCCATCTAGAGGAGAGATGGCTCAGTGGTTAGAGTGCGAATTTACTGACCAGAAGGTCCATGGTTTGAATCCGAGCTGCGCCTCTCCACTTTCCCGCTTAGGCTTGGGCACCCTGGCAGTATCCCAGCCCTCGTGCTTCCTTCAAGTGGCATGACAGCTAGGCACAGAAACGGTGTTACAGCTGAACGACTATCTAGCGTACTTCAGTAGTAAATTTATTCGTTTGATATGGTCTCTCAAGGGGGGACGACTATGAGTACGGAAAACCTATCCTCGGATTTTCTTAGCTGTCACTTAAAATCAACCCTGCATTCTTATTTTCCAAATACACCTTATTTCTAGGCTTTGAAAACAAAACTGCCGTTTGGTTTTTCGATCCCTTTCGGAGAGGCAACCTTCCTAAGCATCATCAAAGAATGGCTGGATGCGGATTCCAGCGGTGCCCAAATGTTGATAGATTTTTTAAATGGATGCCACACTGAGTTCTATTCTATAGTGTATGTTAGTATGTACCTCAAAGAAACCTCCATAGCTTAATAACCACGGTATTCCCCCTCTGGAAAAAAGCACCTCTAGAGTGATCTCTATCAAGGCAATCCTTCAAATCGTGCCCTAATACTAAACTCCGTCTTTCAAAATATCAACTCACAGAAGGGATGGCTTTCCCTAAAAGTGGGGGGAGAGATGTACTGCTGTCTTCCTAACCAGGTTGTTCTGTGATTCCCACCATCTTCGCTCAGTGTTTCTGGTGGTCTCTAGGACAGAATACTGTAGTAACTCCTTTCGCGGTATTCGCCAAAGGTACTCTCTTTCGGTAAGTGGTCGCCTTCATCATCATCATCGACAGCGTGACATCAGTGTTCAACACCGATGCTTCACTGCCGTACAACCATGACTTATTTGAAAGCCTTGTTGTAAAGAAAAGAGTAAAGGTGGACGGGGGAGGGACTTAGTGCTAGCTTAACACAATCATTCCGAGGTGCCTACACCTCCAGACATTCACTCAGGCAATCTGGACAGAAACTGACAACAAGAACGCCACTGACATCGGTTGGCAGCCATATTTTGTAGTGTCTCCAACCAGGCACAATGAGGATCACGCGGTCCCCATCCTGGAAGGCGAGTAGCACCGACAGCACCTAAGCGTTTCGTGATCTCCTTCATACTCCTCTACCAAGTCAAGGGTTGGCCACCTCTATATTTACGCCACTCCGAAATGGGCGTGGAAAATAGTACTCTCTTCGGCAAACGATGGTTCGGCATACGTAACACATGTCCCAACCAACGCAGCTTCTGGTGCTGGACACA